TCAACAGAGGTATGATTTTTATTTTATGCTAGCTTTTTCTTTCTGTCTTTCAAACAGAGGTCTCAAACATTTACTTTGCTTTGCAGTATGTAAATAGACAATTTATGGCAGAAACACAGTTCAGCAGTGGTGAAAAGGAGCAGGTAGATGAATGGACAGTTGAAACAGTTGAGGTAAGAGTTCTCTGTTAGAAGGTTGTTTTTTGTCTTTAATTAGTACTTTTTATCTCTCCTAAGAACAAATTTAGATTTTCAAGTATTTTGCATTATAAGTACATTTATTATAGCAACAAACTCATTATATAAGGCTCTTCTGTGTTAAAAGGTGATTTGTTTCTGTGGGTATTTAATATAATCACTGCTTTACTGTTCCAATTACAAGAAAATATACAAATGTCTATGTAGTTTACATGCTCAATCTATTAAAGTACACAACCTGTTAATCAGGTTGCACTGTGAAAACCTGGTCTCCTGCATGGATAGCCTTCAGAAAGACTGCCTGACAGGGGATACATTGAAGTGTCATTTCAGACTCCTCTTTACCCTGATGCTGTTGAGTACCAGGTTCTGTTAGCTCGGTATTGCTTGTAAAGGAACTAAGGTTGTGACTTGCCCAGGCTTAACAGCCAGGCAGAGAAATATGTAAATTTGTAGTAATAAAAATTAGATTTCTTAGAGCAGGGAATTACTTAAAACAATAATTAGGAGAAATTATTAGGAAGATGATGGGTAGAGTGAAATTTGGCTTCTGTAGCAATTTAGACAAGGTGTGATAGAGCTTGATCCTGTGGTACTGGTGGAGAGTGAAATGATAGGAACTCAAAGTTTAATGATAATAATTAACATTTTCTTGAATGCTTAGTATATGTCAGGTACTGAGATAGATATGTATTTGATATAGGTATATAGGTTTACTTACTGTAGAAGGCTTAACAGTTTAAGCAAAATACTTGGTTTTAGGACATAGACACAGTAGTCTTTTTTTTTCTAAATCCATTTACAAGATAAACCTGAAATGCTATTAATATGTGGCAGCCCTGTGGAATTGGGAACACTGTAGGAGTGAGAGCATTGATCAGAATGTTAACTTTGACTTAATTTGGTCAGGTTGACTACATTCAAATCTGTTATTCTGTTTATAGTATACATGGTATGTGTAATTTGGGGACCAGTCATGATGATAATGGATGGAGCTCTGTCATTCTACCAACCTGTCCTCCTCTTCTGCTTTAGGTGGTAAATTCACTCCAGCAGCAGCCTCAGGCTGCATCTCCTTCAGTACCAGAACCCCACTCTTTGACCCCAGTGGCTCAAGCCGATCCCCTCGTGAGAAGACAGCGAGTACAGGACCTTATGGCACAAATGCAGGGGCCCTATAACTTCATACAGGTAGGTACTAGTCAGATACTGCGCAGATTGGTTAAGTGTTTACATTAACTTAATTACATTATATCCTACCTAAACTTTATACATTATATCCTACCTAAATATAAATTGCATTACATTCTAGGATTCAATGCTGGATTTTGAAAACCAGACACTTGATCCTGCCATTGTATCTGCACAGCCGATGAATCCAGCACAGAACATGGACATACCCCAGCTGGTTTGCCCTCCAGGTTGGTAGTCATCTATGTTTATGTGAGAAATACAGAACCAGTGTTTTTAGGTTATGTAAAGTTTGTGAAAATTAATCTTTTTATTTTTAATGTTTTACTTTCAGATCTTGAATGTTTTAATTTGGTGAGAAGTGTTAACTCTTTTTCCTATAATACGAACCATAAATGTAGTTCCATCGTTATTAGTGGTGGATTTTTTTTTTTTTTGTAACTTTATTGGCATATGGATGTACAGAAATGTACATGCAGATTTAAAATGTGATGAGGATTTACAAAGTTGAACTCACCGGCACCCAGAAGTGGAACATTATTAATACCCCAGAAGCCTCCTTGTGTTCCCTTGTAGTCACTTCCCTTGCCTCATGGCGGCCACATTCTGACTTACACACCTAGGTGTGTTATACCTGGTTGGGGCTTTTTTTTGGTGTGATGAAATTTTGCTTGGCTTTTTAAATTTCAAAATTAACCTAGGAATGGACTTCCCTGGTGGTCTAGTGGTTAAGACTCTATGTACCCAATTAAAAGGAGTGTGGGTTTGATCCCTGGTGAGGGAACTAGGATCCCACATGCTGCATGACCAAAAAGATGTTACCTATATTTGGAAAAAGGAAAGACCAAATTATTTTTTAAAAATTAATCTAGGAAAAAAGATAGGTGTCTTTCTCTGAAGGATGATTGCACCTTTTTAGAAGGATTTCTGAACATTTTATTACTTAAAAATGAGATGGAGTAGTGAGTGGGTAAGGAAATGCTTAAGAGAAAAGTGGAAGAGATGGACTAGAAGATAGCTGAAGTTTCCGTTTCTCACTAGTCTCACACCATTATTTGAAACAGCAGCACAATAAATAGGGTTGGTGCTTTTGTATTGGGTTAAGGGGAGCATCTCTTGAAGACTTAGTAATTCTGAGTCTTGTTTTTTTCCTCTAACATATCAGCATTAAGGGCATAAAAGTGGAACAGTAGGAGGTAACACATTTAATGTTAATCTTAAATGTTACAAAAGGAGTTGCTGGTAAAAGCATGTTTAATGAACACAGTTAAAGCGGCAAGTTAGGATTTTTCTAAATGAAAGGGAGCTTATATCTTTACCAAGAGTTAGAAAACAGATCAGGGACTCACAGAGTTACTAGTGTTCACTTTTTGAGCTCTACCAGAGGAAGAAAATACATATATTTCTTAGCTTTGTCAGTCAGCATGTGCACCACTGATGTAACCTGTAAAGCTACTTAGATTTTCAGGTGATGGTAAGTCAATTTAAGACTCTCCAGTGAAAATGGATGATTTCCAAATGACTAACCAAAGATACTGTGTTTTTGATTATCTGTTTAACCATAATTTGGAAGATTAGTGGAAGAATGATGAAAGTTGACAGTAACATGCACACTGAATTGAATATAGGCTTTTTAAAGATAAATTTTTATTTTTTCCAGTGGAAGCATTTGAAATTATTTTGAAAGTTGATAGTTAAAATATTTCTGAATATTATCTATCTCAAAGTTTTGACTAAGAGTAATGCTCCTTTGTAGTTAACTGCTTTAAAAAGCTCTTTTTCGGGGATAATTCTAGCATTGATTCTTATTCTGCTCTACACCCGTTTGTTAGTATTGTTCCACTAACACTGCAAAAAAAAGTGAAAGGCATGTAGCAGTTGATTAATGAGTATCAGTTAATTGAAAATGCTCACTTGAAAGCTAAAATCCTTCCTGTACTTCCCCATTTACTTTCATAATTGCTAAATAGTTTATTTAGGATTTGGCTAAAGAAAATTGACTTTAGAGACTTAAGTAAAAGGTATTTATACATCTCTGAAGAAATCTGATTTTGTATGACAGTATTTTTTTGGTCAATTTTACAGTTCATTCTGAATCTAGACTTGCTCAACCTAATCAAGTTTCTGTACAACCAGAAGCTACACAGGTAAGATTGATAAATATTTTCTCAGTTTTTGTTTTTAATCTGTTCTTAGCTAGCTTATGAAAACCAGGTGTGAGTTTGATCAGTGTCAAGTCTGGCATGAATAGCAATCAGCTTTTATTTCCATGTTTACATTTATTTTTCTTTTAATGAACTAATAAAAACAATTTATCTGTTAATCCTTGTTTTTAATTTTAATGAAGTTTTAAAATTTGAAACAGTTTGAGAAGACATAGTTTAGATTTCATAATTTTAAAATTTAGTGTAGATATTATGTACATTTGTCGGGAACTTTGTAACTGGGCTTGGGTTTATTAACTTCGAGCTTTAATAATGTATGTATTTTTCCAGTTGTTAGATTTTATAGTCTCTTTAACATGAATATCTATTTCTTAGCCCTGTATGTAATGAAGTTGGTTTATAACAGAATGAAGCTTTGATTTCTTTACTTCTTTGTTAGGTTCCTTTGGTTTCATCCACAAGTGAGGGATATACAGCATCTCAACCCTTGTACCAACCTTCTCATGCTACTGAGCAACGACCACAAAAGGAACCGATTGACCAGATTCAGGCAAGTTGTGTTACTAGGTCATATAAACTTGATGAGGCACTTGAATTGGGTGGAGCCAAATAACTGTTAATGCAGTATCTCTTCGTTTTGGACCTAATGCATTCATGATATTATTTTTATTTCATAAAATAGTTGAGTTTATTAACATATGTATGGGTCTTAGTTTACCACTAAAGTGTATCTATTCACTCTTGTGTTTAGGCAACGATCTCTTTAAATACAGACCAGACTACAGCATCATCATCCCTTCCTGCTGCTTCTCAGCCTCAAGTGTTCCAGGCTGGGACAAGCAAACCTTTACATAGCAGTGGAATCAATGTAAATGCAGCTCCATTCCAATCCATGCAAACGGTAAGCAGATTAAGTAAACTGACATTAAGTTCCTGGTGTGTACTATCTTCATGGTAGAGTCTCAGCAGAAAGTCTTTAACTTTGTGCTTGAGTCTGCATCTACTGTAACTTTAGGGTATGTTTAATTGAACATAAAACTCATTTTTTTTCTGTTCACAGAGATAAACTTGAATCTTAGGAGTTATGTGCCTACATCTTGTTTTGTAGTTTCACCCTTTAAAGTAACAGAATTTTAAATTTGAATAAAGTAGACTGATATATATATATATATATATATATCATTGGTCTTCCCTTGTGGCATAGTGGTAAAGAATCTGCCCCCCAATACAGAAGATGTGTGGGTTCGATCCCTGGGTCAGAAAGATCCTCTGAAGGAGGAAATGGCAGCTCACTCCAGTATTCTTGCTTGGAAAATTCCATGGATAGGAGCCTGGTGGGCTACAGTTCATAGGGTCCCAAAGAGTCGGACACGGCGGAGCGCACACACACAACACAGAGCATTACCTAGAGATCAGTTGTTTACACTTTGTCATGTTTACTGAATCTTTTAATTTACTGAACTATATCTCAGAGTAATAGATGTTATGATACTATGCTTTGGTTCTTCAGAGAGCATCTCTAAATTGTAGGATTTCTAGAAAATAATGAAAATACTGTGATCAATGGAATATAGCTAAAACAGTGCTCACAGGAAAATTTATAGAGTTAAATGCTTAAAATACTAATTTTTGATTAAAATATAATAAAATACTCAAGTTAAAGTTCATAGATTTAATTTATCTAAGTGACAGTGTATCAGGGGTTTGCATATTTTAAGATTTCTCATTTATAATAGCATTTCCAAGGATTCTGATCCTCTGTCTTCTCAGATTTTTAATCCGTCTATACTCTGCTAAAAAATGCTACATGACGTGTGTGTGTGAGAGAGAGAGAAATAAATGCCTTGAGACTTGTGATGTTTGTTTACATCTCAGTTAAAACCAGTATTAAGATCTGCCATGTTAAAAGTAGGAAAATGATTAGCATAAAGGGAAGAACTAATCATTTACTTTATTTACTTATAGGTGTTCAATATGAATGCCCCAGTTCCTCCTGTTAATGAACCAGAAACTTTAAAACAGCAAAATCAGTACCAGACCAGTTATAACCAGAGCTTTTCCAGTCAGCCTCACCAAGTAGAACAAACAGAGCTTCAGCAAGAACAGCTTCAAACAGGTGGGAAAACCAGTGTCGCCTCATTGGCTGCTTGCTTTCCACTGCAGTGACTTACACTGTTAGGCGAGTTTGGACTTTAGAGTGGCAGTGACCAAGAGTTTTTATTTTGGTAGTAGTCCAAAACAAATTAATTTTTCATTGCTGATTCTGAGTACAATCAAGTCCATATTTGCTGTATGTGAATTAGGTGCAGGTTTTGGAGACCATATGCTCATTTTCCTTCGGTTAGTGAGTTTTCATAATAGCCTATTTCATTGGTGATTTTAGTGGAATTAAACTTGTTATTTGAATAATGATCAACTTTGGTTTTAACTGCTAATTAATTGAAGCCTGATATCATGATATCTGGCAGCAAGTCAGTTATAGAAAGTTAAGCAGTAGAGGCATGGTGAGGCTAACTATAGTAGACTAGGTTAAAACAAAGTCCTTGCCAGCAAATAAGGTCATAACTTGGCCGGTTACCATATCTCACAATAGTAGGTTTCTTACATTTGTAAGACATAAATATATTTTTTTTTAGGTCTTTGGTTATTAAATTCAAATAGAGATTTAATTAGAATCCTACAACAGATTAGTAAACTTGACTGATGTGAATAATTGTCTGATTCTTGACAGACTTGGGTCAACAATAATTTTTCTTACATATCCCTATGGTAATTAGCATCACTAATCAGTAGAGTTTGAATCAACCATAGTCAGATAGAAATTTGGCAGTTATGCAGTCTGTGCTTCTGATTGATAAAATTGGACTTCTCATTCTCAGGCTCCTTTAATTATTCAGTGCCACGTAAAGGCATACCTTGAGGAGATTGCAGGTTTGGTTCCAGACCACTGCAATAAAGCAAATACCGCAATAAAGTGAGTCATATGAATGTTTTGGTCTCCTAGTACATATAAAAATTCTCTTAACACCATACTATAGTCTATTAAGTGTGCAGTAATAGCATCATGCCTAAAAAAAAGTGTACATGCCTTAATTAAAAAATACTTTATTGTCCCAGAATGCTAACCATCCTCCAAGACCTCACTTGAGTTGTAACATCAAAGATTGTTGACTGCAGATCACCATAACTTATCTAATAATGAAACAGTTTGAAATATTATGAGAATTACCAGTATGTGATTTATCATATTGATAAATTGATTTATCATTTGATTTGGTTAGTTTTGCCTTTTGTGCCAATTGAGTTCAAGCTATCTTACATTCTCCTCAACTTCACTAATTGACTATGAAGCATTGGTGCTAGATAATCTTTTTTTACCATGCAAAATATGTTATTAATGAAAATTGACCTTAAAACATTTACAGATGTTTTCAATAAAAAATAAATCAGCCCATATGCTTTGCTCAAATACAGCCACGCTACCACTGCAATCTAGGCAGCCATCGACTCTTATCTAGAATATTGCAACTCTCTCCCTTGACTCTTACTTTACGTTAGCCCAGTCTGTTTTCCACACAGTAGCTAGAGTGATTTTAAAATGTAAATCAGATGTCTCTCTTCCTGTTCAGAGCCTCCCAGTGTTTAGAAAAGAAATGCAGTCTTTACCTTAGTTTACGAGATCCATGATCTAGCCCCCTACCTTGATCCTGTTGTATGTCCTGTTTTCTTTATCATGTGCCCAAACAGTCACAGACACAAATACTCTTCTTTCTTTAATGTAAAGAAAAAGTCCTTTATGCTTTGTTTTCTTTTTGCTTGAAACTTTCTTTCACTGATGTTTGCATAGCTTGCTTTGTGACTTTTAAGCCTGTGCTCAGATACCACCTCACAGAGACCTACCTGCCTTCATTGCCTTGTCCAAATATAATGTGCTTACTTTAGTCATTCATTTACCCTACTTGGTATTTTCCTTGATCTCTTATTACCTGAAACAACATAGATGTTTTTACTTGTATGTATATTTTATTCACTTATTATTTCCTACTATTAAAAGTTCCTATGGGCAAGGATTATGTGTTGGAAACTATCTCATCCCTTGTGTCTAGGACCTGGCTTGGCATGTTGAGGGCGTTAAACGATACTTGTTGAATAAGTCAGTGTATCCCATCGTTTTAGAAGTTTTTTGTATTTTAATATTTATTTGGCCACACCAGGTCTTAGCTGTGGCATGTGGATCTTTAGTGGCAACATGCTGGATCCAGTTCCCTGACCAGGGGTTGAACCCTGGCCCCCAACATTTGGAGCGTGATGTCTTAGCCATTGGACCACCAGGGAAGTCCCCCATCATTGCAGAAGTTTTGAATTAGTATCTCATCAGGAACGACATGAAAAAAATATCTGCAAGGATATTTGATTTTTTTTTTTTTAATGTACTAAAAGTGCATGCTTATGTTTTATGTGCACTTAACTAGGACCTTTAAAATAAAGATCACACTTTAATTGTTCTGCTTTGAGTTTCTTGCAGTGAGATTTGACCAAGGATAATACAGTTCTTACAAAAAAAGTCGAAAATTCACTTCTTCTGACCATTTTCTACTTGCGTATGAATGAATCTTTTTATTTAAAAAAATATATATATATTTTTGGCCACACCATGTGGCATGGCGGGATCTTAGTTCCCCCACTCTAGGGGTCAAACCCGTGGTCCTAACCACTGGATCACTGGGGAATTTCCTGAGTGAATCTTTACAGATAGAAAATGTTACTGGTACTTGTGATATTTGCTTTATAATTATGTTTTGAGAATGTAGTAAAAGATAATTTAATGTAGAAAGATCACATTGTGCTTAGTGTATTTGATCCATTACATAGTTCAAAAAAGAGCCTTTTCTTACTAGGCATTCTCTAGTTTTTTTCATTGCAAAATAGCATCCTAAACTCATAAACATGATGGATTTCTTGAAGATACAAAGTAGGTCAGAGAAATTTTCAAGACTCAAACTACATTTTCTCTCTGCCCAAACATACAAGATTTGGGCTGCCTGGAGGCTGCTGACTGTTTTTCTTCCTGGAGTATGGGCCTTCCTTTGGTCTATACCTTCCTTATCTCACAAAGTTACTGTTAGCATTGTTTTTTCTCTCCTGTGAATTATGAACATTGGGGTAATACCAGGAATGGTATTACCATTGCTATCTTACTTTTGAAGGTGTCTAGATTTTAGGCTTCTCCCCATTGTGGAAGGAGGAGGGATCTAAGGTATAATAGTATGGACCTTGTAGAACCTTCACTTCCGGGGGTTAAGTGCCAGTGTGAGTACTATTTAATTCTTTTCTAAATTGGCTGTGCATTAAAAATACTTAGAATGTACTCAAGTATTATGACAAGGTATATGTTGAAGGCCTCTGCTGATTTGAGTATAGCTGCTTAGCTATGGGGAGGTATGGTTTTATATGTTTTAACAAATATCGGGAAATTTAGAGGAATAAGAAAACTAGCAATGGGAGGTTTATAATGAAAAGAAATAATTAAACGGTACAGAATCTTAAATATTTCAGTACATAAAATATTTTGATTATTGTAGGTCATTTGTGCTACACAGAGGTGCCTCTCAGAAGATGTTAAAATAATACAGCCTTTCAAGTCATTTGGAAGGATAGAATGGTGTGCTTTCACACAGTGTGTGCTCTCAGAGACTTGGAGTTACTGCGGAGAATTTCATTCTCTCAGCAGCACAGGGGCAGGAGCAGGACAGAGATTTCACTAATGTGTAGTCTTCTCTGTTACTAACATGGAAATGGGAGGACGGAATTAAACTTTGAGGAGACTGTGTAAGACACTTCTTCCTTTTTTTTTTTAAAAGACATTTCTTAAGCGAGAAAGCATATAGAAATCAGGCAAATTGTAATGAGCTGTGTGTGTGTATGTATACACATGTATATATGTATTTTTTTCTTTCTGTTATAGTGGTTGGCACTTACCATGGTTCCCAGGACCAGCCCCATCAAGTGACTGGTAACCACCAGCAGCCTCCTCAGCAGAACACTGGATTTCCACGTAGCAGTCAGCCCTATTACAACAGTCGCGGTGTGTCTCGTGGAGGTTCCCGTGGTGCTCGAGGCTTGATGAATGGATACAGAGGACCTGCTAATGGATTCAGAGGTAAAGACAAAAACCCCCAAAAGAAAGTTCATATTCTTTTTTGATTTGCACAGTATAAAGAAATATGTCATGTTTTTTATGAAAAAATTATATCTCTCTGCATTAACTTCTTATGTACAGTGTAAACTTTTTTTTTTTTTTTTGGTATGTGTTGATAAGAGTTATTTAAATCGGCTGAATTGGGACTGAGTATTTTGTATGTATTAAACCCATATCTGCCACTGTCCTGTAAAGGATAGTGCTTTCTATAAACTATGAGACCTTATGGAGATTTGTTGTTTTCTGTGTGTATATATGCAAGGATTGGTAACTATTTCATCTTCTAAGGCAATAGAGACAAATTAGATCAGGATAAGAAATTAGAAATTAGTTTGAATAACTAGCATGGCTTACAGTTTTTCAGTTCTTCCTTGGTCAGTAGTAAGAAGGTAAAAACTCCTTAAGATAACGAAAAAAATTTTTATTTTTTTCTTCTTGTCCTACATTTTAGGAGGATATGATGGTTACCGCCCTTCATTCTCTACTAACACTCCAAACAGTGGTTATACACAGTCTCAGTTCAGTGCTCCCCGGGACTACTCTGGCTATCAGCGGGTAGGTGAAATTGTTTAAAAATATAAACCTGACCTAAGGACCGCAATGAAAGGGACTAATGTAGTTGCTTGACAAACTAGAGTAAGTAATTTGGGGCTAATTTTGAACCTCTGTACAAGATACCTCTTTGTGGAGAATGATGACTTTTGCTCTTCTTAGCACTCAATATAGGGATTCATTTAATAGAGTTTGATAAACAATGATTTTTATGAGCAAAGAAGTGTATCTCATTGATCTTGAAAATAAGAGAAGTACTATTACAGAATATCTTGTAGCAGTGCTATGTTTAAATGTCTAAAAGAATAACAAAGAATTCTGTATTCTATAAAAGGCTGTAAGAATAGAGTAAGCATTAAAAATTACCATTTCTTCAGTACTAACGAGCTTGTCTTTTAGGATGGATATCAGCAGAATTTCAAGCGAGGCTCTGGGCAGAGTGGACCACGGGGAGCCCCACGAGGTAATATTTTGTGGTGGTGATCCTAGCTCCTAAGTGGAGCTTCTGTTCTGGCCTTGGAAGAGCTGTTCATAGTCTGCATGTAGGTTACATGTTAGGAATACATTTATCATTTCCAGAGTTGTTGCTAGGGATTAAATGAAATGCTCTGTTTCTAAAACTTATCTTGAACCCAAATTTAATTTTTTGAATGATGATCCCTGTTACTATATAAACTGTCTTGAAAACTAGAACATTTCTCCTCCTCAGAAAGTGTTTTTCCAACTGCAAATTATTTTTCAGGTCCTAAAACCTGCTAAATGTTTTTAGGAAGTACTTACTGAAACATTTTTGTAAGACATTTTTGGAATGAGATTGAACATTTATATAAATTTATTATTCCTCTTTCATTTTTGAAACATGCTTATTATATTTTAGGGCCAGAAACCCTTTAATGGCCGGATAAGCCATAGTACATTTAGAGAACCATTTAGAAGTGATAGAAAATTGATTTCAATGCCTTTTGGACCACTATTATGGATATAAATGTCATTATTTCTGACTTTTAAACAAAGCCTCCAAATTCATAACCAACTTGCAGAACTATACTTAAAAATTACAGGTTTTAAGAGTGTTTTGTCTCTTAATATAAGAAAACGACTCCTATTTGGGTAGGAAGTAAATCTGTGTAACAGTTAGAGGTAGCATTTCATATGATCTGAAGTTCTAAATGGTTCTCTGATTTGAGGGAAGTTGAACTGATTTCCTCTAGATATTGGCCATAATATGTATACAAATGTATATTAAGGAGGAATTACAAAATTCTTTAATTTTAATGCTAGTAGAAACTGGCCAGCAAAAAAGGTGCATTTTTTTTTTTTAAATTATGGATCACTTGGGAATTACTGACTTGAAGTATCAAAGGATATTTGCATGTGAATGTGGGTTATGTTCTTTCTCACCTTGTAGCATATTCAATGAAAGTTGAGTTGACTGGTAGCTAAAAATATGTTTTAACAGCATGTAAAAAGTTACTTTATCTGTTACAAGTCATTATACAATTTTGAATGTTATGTAGTTTCTTTATAACAGTTTAGGTAATAAGGTCTGTTTTTCATTCTGGTGCTTTTATTAATTTTGATAGTATGATGTTACTACTGAAATGTAAGCTAGAGTGTATACTAGAATGTAAGCTCCACGAGAGCAGGTACTTTGTCTGTCTCTACTGCTGTATCTATTTCCAACGCCTGATGACAGTGCCTGGCACATAGTAGGCACTCAATAAATACTTGTTGAATGAATGAATGAATGAGTACTGGTGGAATACTCCATTAGCTCTACTCTTCTTTTAACTAGAGAACATGAGCAAATTTGCGCATGACAACCTCCAGGACAGGTGAAACTTGAACACTGAAGAATTGACCTCTTAAACCTAATAATGTGGTGACAAGCTGCCCACATGCTTCTTGACTTCAGATGAAAATCTGCTTGAAGGCAAAACAAATAATATTTGAAAGAAAAACCAAATGCCATTTTTGTCTTCTAGGTCGTGGAGGGCCCCCAAGACCCAACAGAGGGATGCCGCAAATGAACACTCAGCAAGTGAATTAATCTGATTCACAGGATTATGTTTAATCGCCAAAAACACACTGGCCAGTGTACCATAATATGTTACCAGAAGAGTTATTATCTATTTGTTCTCCCTTTCAGGAAACTTATTGTAAAGGGACTGTTTTCATCCCATAAAGACAGGACTACAATTGTCAGCTTTATATTACCTGGATATGGAAGGAAACTATTTTTACTCTGCATGTTCTGTCCTAAGCGTCATCTTGAGCCTTGCACATGATACTCAGATTCCTCACCCTTGCTTAGGAGTAAAACACAATATACTTTAATGGGGTGATATCTCCATAGTTATTTGAAGTGGCTTGGATAAAGCAAGATTGACTTCTGACATTGGATAAAATCTACAAAACAGCCCTAGAGTCATTCAATGGTAACTGACAAAACTAAAATATTTCCCTTGAAAGGAAGATGGAAGGAGTGGAGTGTGGTTCGGCAGAACAAATGCATTTCACACCTTTTCCGGTTAAATTGGAGCACTGAACATTTAGATGCATACCAAATTATGCATGGGCCCTTAATCACACATACAAGGCTGGGTACCAGCCTTAGGCTTTGACACGGCACTATTCATCCTCTGGCCAGACGACTGTGGTTTAAGACACATGTAAATTGCTTTTTAACAGCTGATACTGTATAAGACAAAGCCAAAATGCAAAACTAGGCTTTGATTGGCACTTTTTGAAAAATATGCAACAATTAAGGGATATAATTTGGATGGCCGCTTCTGTACTTAATGTGAAATATTTAGATACCTTTTGAACACTTAACAGTTTCTTTGACAATGACTTTTGTAAGGATTGGTAGTATATATCATTCCTTATGACGTACATTGTCTGTCACTAATCCTTGGATCTTGCTGTATTGTCACCTAAATTGGTACAGGTACTGATGAAAATCTAATGGATAATCGTAACACTCTTGGTCACATGTTTTTCCTGCAGCCTGAAAGTTTTTAAAAGAAAAAGACATCAAATGCCTGCTGCTGCCACCCTTTTAAATTGCTATCTTTTGAAAAGCACCAGTATGTGTTTTAGATTGATTTCCCTATTTTAGGGAAATGACAGTCAATAGTTTCACTTCTGATGGTATAAGCAAACAAATAAAACATGTTTATAAAAGTTGTATCTTGAAACACTGGTGTTCAACAGTTAGCAGCTTATGTGGTTCATCCCATGCAGTTTAGTGTTACAAATTTTATGGTTATCTCCAGCAGCTATTTCTACAGTACTTGCACTTATCTTTTGTCTAACCCTAACTGAATTATCTGTTTCACATGGAGGTATTTATATTCAAAGTGGTGATTCCCTCCCATAGATGTATAGGGAGAGTCCCAAGTCTGATAATGATGGACAGTTTAGTAATTTATGTACGATGTTGAAATTTGTGCTAGCAGTTGGAGCACTAGTTCTGTGTGCCTATGAACTTAATGCTGCTTGTCGTATCCCACTTTGACTTCATGGGGAATTAATCCCACCTTACATTAAGCAAAGGCTACTAAGTTAATGGTATTTTCTGTGCAGAAATTGAATTTAGTTTTCAGCCTTTAGCTAAAGACTTTTTCCAGTAGGTGCTCAGCTACTTAAACCCATAAAACTATTCTCAAACATTCATCATTAGACAACTGGAGTTTTTGCTGGTTTTGTAACCTTCTAAAATGGATAGGCTATTGAACATTCCACATTCAAAAGTTTTGTAGGGTGGTGGGGAAGGGGGGAAAACTTCAATGTTTATTTTAAAATAAAAGAAGTTCTTGACTTTTCTCATGTGTGGTTGTGGTACATCATATTGGAAGGGTTATCTGTTTACTTTGCAAATAAGTATTTCTTCTGCTAGCACCTCCCCTTGTGTGCTTTAAATGACATCTGCCTGGGATGTACCACAACCATATGTTTGCTTTATTTTAGGCGGATAGATAAAATATTTGTGGTTTACTGGGTAATCCCTAGATGATGTGTGCTTACAATCTTTCTATATATAAAACTAACTTTGCTATCTGTGTAGAAAATAATTTCATGACATTTAAAGTCAGAATTGAAATAAGTTCTTTATACAGTGATCTCTATGAATCAGTTCAGAGATGGGATCGGGGAGAAATGCTTTCTAGGTTTCAAACTTCTATGCATTAGTACAGATGTCATGAATATGTAAAGGTATTAGTAGGTTGATTATTTCTATGTATGTTTTTAAAAGAATTGTTCTTTTTGACATATTATACCTTTTTTTGGCATTCTACCATTGTAGTCTAAATTTAAAACTTTTATGCCTCAATTCAGACTATATTTTTTAAAGGAGAGCCTCTCTGTGGGGCAGAGAACTTTTTAAAAGTCCCATTAAGATCTGAGTCTTGGTACTAAGTGTTCTGTATAATTTGTGGATGCTTGTCCTCCTTGCAGGAGGCCTTGCGTGGGCAAATGCATATTCTAGCAGAGTTGAAAAGAGATGGTTGTCACATGTGGCATTGTGGCTTGGTGTATAGCAAGATGCCATATATAAAGTACTTTCATTTAAATGCACAGTGTCAATCATCTCATGTGGATAATGAGACTTCTGTTTTAAAGCTTTAAGGTACAGTGTCATTGATTACCTTGGCTAGGGCAGTTTTATTTTTAGATCTAAATATCCCTAAAGAATATTATTGAAAGAGGTTTTCTGATCATCATTCTTGTCATATTAAAACAAAACCTGTTAAGTATTTTTAATCAGCTAGCTTCTGCTGTTCTTTAACCTCCTATGTATATATATGATTCCGTGATGTGGGAGACGTCACTTAGAGACATGAGAATGTGTATTTATTCTCAGAAGGTTAATTAACAGATGTTCTGTTACCAAGCAGTTCATAAAATGTAGAAAGTAGTTGAATATTCAGCCTCCTAAGTGTCTTAGGAGATTTATATTGTTCATTATATTTTCAATAATATATCTTAGGGGGAATGGGATACAGGTAAGCACAAAGTTAAAACCCATCATTTTCATCTTTTAAGTTTCTGAATTTCATCTCATTTGAGTTCTTATTAAGCACTCTTTGAAGTTTTATTGACTGTAAGTTATGTTAAAAACAGTATTGCTCTTAAGCGTATCCCTTCTAAAGAGTTAATGGGGGGAGGGAAAACCCTCAGGAATATGAAAATAATTTGTTAAGGCTCATTCTATACCCTTTCCCATTTTGAATTCTACAAAAATACTGGAAAAGACTAGTGAATGTTTTAAAATTACATTAGATTAAATAATATTAAAACCTGATACCTTAATTGTCCTTGAGTGAAGTTTGCTTTAGTTGTTTATACCATTGAGCAAAGCTCTAAGTGAAGAAGTGCTACTTGTGAGAAGAGAGGAAAAACCTTAAATTTGTTAGTCTCACCTTATTAGACTACTACAATTCTTCTCAATTGGGATCTTAATACCTTAAACAGCGGTTCTGAAGCCTAATCCAGTCTCATGCAGAAGACTGGCTCCTTGAGTATGTAAGTAGTGAAAGATAACCTGATCCAGTGAAGGCAATAAGTGTTCTTTTTAGTACTGGTTTTCTGCAAGTACTGTATTTAGATTAGGGAGCCACTGTATTAAGTCAGTACACCAAAGCTCCATCCAGCAAATTTGGGTCCTCTTTGCCAGGTCACCATTCCAAGCACTAAGCATTCAGTGGTGACAGAATCACTGGTTCCTGCTCTCATCAGTCTGATCAAAGATGTTGATGTGATGATACTAAAATACAGCAAAAGCCATGATGCAGCAACATAGCTGATGATAGATATTAAGGCTGTGATAGGATATGGCCTAGTCAAAATGATCAGGAAAGGCATTTTTGATGTGAATAGTGAAGACTTGAAGGATAAGAAGTAGTAAACTGGTAAAGAACGGGAGAGAACTGCATGTCCAAGTCAAGTCTCCAGTGACTGAGAAACTGACTCGAGTGAAAGTATAGATATTATAGAGCTAGAGAGAGGCTGAAGCAACAGGTAAGGACTACTAAGAACAGCTTTGTAGTTTTATTCCATGGTAAGTTTTGTCTCTTGAGAGTTGGAAACTGGTAAGTTTTAAGCTGTGTGTATAGTGGTTGGGATTGGGGGAGGAGAGGATGGTGGGTCACCTAGTAAAATTGTCATTTAATAACACTCAATGCAGGGGATTCCCTGGCAGTCCAGTGGCAAAAGCAAAAAGAACAGTGTTGAGAGCAAAATAATATGGTGCAAGAGATGACTATTGGTGTAGCCCATGTAAGAAATGATTACAACTCTAGAGAGCAGGGAGCAGTGAGACTAACAGATGTAAGAAATGATTACAACTCTAGAGAGCAGGGAGCAGTGAGACTAACAGATGTAAGAAATGATTACAACATAAAGTGCAGGGTGGTTGTGAATGGGTTCTGCACATTTCTATCTGGCCATTGCTCAGTATCCTTTACTGAGTTTTCCAGGACTTGGTTGCAGACTTCATCCTTGGCTAACATTCTTCCCTAGTTGATCTTAACCAATCCCATGACTGACTACAGTCATTTTAGTCACTCAGAAGCGTTTCTAGGTCCCAGACCCTCAAACACATGCAAACTTGATGTCTTGATTTGAATGTCATGAGTATTTCAGATTTATCTGTTCATGAACGTATATCCAGTTGCTCAGGGCATATACCTTGGATATCATTGGTTTCCTTTCATACCTTGTACCTATAATCCTTAAGCAAATGCATATGATTCTACCTTAAAAATACATCCTAAGTTAGCCAGCACTTGTGACCACCACCACTATCAGAACAGGTAACAACAGTAGTTTATGGTGGTTCTGTTTCTAGTCTTGCTCTTCTGTAGTATAGTTTTCTTGCGTAGCAGTCAGATTGAGGGCAAGTAAGATTTTGTCACTTCCTTGTTCAGACTCCAGTGGTTTCTGTAGAAACCACGCCACACCTAGAATCCTAAATCTGGCCCATATGCCCTTCAAATATCAGGCCTAATTTCCTACCGTTTTCTCTCTTGCTTACTGTACTCTGGCCACACTGGATGCTTTGTTGAGACTGTCACCGTCCTGGGAACTTCATGTATGGAAAGCTTAACACTCAACTGTTAAAAACAATGTTAAGGCTCATTCTTTTTAAATTAAGGTCTTTGCTCCAGGTTACCATTTCACAGTCCTTCCGTGTTTTCTTTGTCCGTTAGTTTTTACTCACTGGATACTTTTTTCTGAACACCTTGTTCTACCTAGACTATGTTAAACTTAGAGATAGGAAAATTTTGTTCACTTTATCTCGTCTAGCATATTGACATTTTGTTGGAATTATGAAGTCATGGGTGTTGGACCACATGGATGGTGCTGATTATATTAGGTTTGTAGCTACAGAATTACATTTTGATTTGATGAAGGAGTTTAAGGTAGAAAGGGAAATGAGTTCGGCTGATAGAGGCATCTGAGAAAAGCAGTTAGAATGTGTTAAATAAAACGTTCTGGTTCCCAAATTCATGACTATATGTGGCCTTTTAAGTCAACTGCTTGGCAGTTCGCATAGGAGTGGGGTAGAAGAAAGGAACCAAACAGAGCAGAACCCCAGAGCTGGTTTTCATAAGAACTCCTGCATTTGACAGCCAGGTACGGGCCTGAAGAGCCTGCAAAGTACAGCGGCAATAATAGTGGGTAGAAAACCTACGGAATCCCAAATAAGCCTACGAGGTCATGACTGAGGATGAGGAGGGTCAAGTGAGCTGAATGAGAAAGATCTTAATGAGTTTCCCTATCTTGTCACATGAAGACGTTATTTAAAATAAGAGGACTCAAAATTATGCACACATTTTGGGAGCCAGTCATCTCGCATAACCAGGCTAACACTCAAAACCCGGACCTGTCTGGGCACCCGAGCTAGCCGCACGCAGTGACAGGCCATGCGGGTGCGAACGTCTACTTGTTCTGCTCTCCGTAGCCACGGTATCTTAATTCTGACCTGAAGAGGCAAGCGACACCCGGCACCACTGCTACAGCCCGCAGAGACAACCGTACAGCCTTGGTTGCTACAGCTCCGCCCCGCGGGCTTTGAGGTCATCATTCAGCGACCGGGTTGAAGAGGTCCCTCCTCGCCGTCGCCGCTCCGTTACTGCGCCGGCGCACGCCCCGCCTTTAAGCGCCCGAGCGAGACGCGCGTCGCGGAGGAGTGATCTGTGAGAGCCGGCTTCCAGGCATCCGTTAAGCTGCGCCCGCCTCTTCCGCAAAAGTTCGGTATCTCCACGTGCTTCCGCTTTGCTGCTGGCTGTAGTCCGCCGGGCTCCGGGCGCAGGTATCTTCCATGGGATGGCTGGGGGCGGGTGCCAAGGTCGGTGTCGGCGTCCTTCTTGGGCCCGGATGAGACTGGCTCCAGGACGAAGTCTTTGCATTTGTGCTGGTGCCCGACACATGCCGACTGCAGCTCCATCACGACTGCCGCCTCATCCGGGTGCTCCTAGAAGACAGGACCCTCTGCTTCTAAGCGCTCTTGCGGGTTGAGTGACTTGATCACTTCCCTCTAGGGGCTCTAGTTGGGGTGGGGTGGGGTGGGTTGAGTGAGTGAGTGACAACACTTTTGCTTTCCGCGGAGCTTGTCCACAGTTCCTGATGGCAGCACCTGGCATTGAACAGAGACAATCTCATTTCATCCAGATCCTCCCAAGCTAGTTGCTACATCTTTCGTTTATACTCCGTATTCAGCAGGAACACTCAGTACTTTATTTTGTTTACCAGTGCACCTAGAATGATGCCTGGCGCATAGATAATATGTATATTTGTTTGAGTAATAGATGAATACTGAAAAATAACTTTCTCTGCCATCAAGGCCTTTCTCATCCACTAAGCCTACCTTGGCAACTGCAGCCCACAGTAATCTCAGACTTTCACCTGTCTGTAACAATTAAGTTTTACATCTAATTTTATCTGTCTTTAGGCAGATTATCCCTCATTTCTTTCTCTTAAATATTTTCTCTAAGGAAAATGAAAACTCTTTGAAGTCAGGACTTTATTTGGTACTACTTCAGGGACTCACACAGTAATTAGAACAAAAAGCAATAATTAGTTGTTGGTTGGTGGTGGGTTTTTTTTGTGGCCGACAACTGAGCTCACAAGCTGGTTGGTGACCTGGAAACAGTTCAGACTTTGAAATCAGGAGGGCCTCTGAATGTGAGTCGTGTCTCCCATCATTTTTCTTCCTTGGTGGTATTTGAGTATTTATACTGGGTTCTTTCCTTATCAAATAAGAGCCATTGGTTGTGACATAGTATTTTACAGTAAGAAAGAACTGCTAAAATCCATGTTTGGATTGAGAGTTTAGGAAGACAATACAGGGTTAAGTTTCAGTTAATGAGCTTTGTGTGTAGAATGCAGCTAGCACTGGAGTATCTTAAGTAACATGTCGTTTGTATTTTTACATTGTAGAAGCATAATTGATATTTCTGGTGTTTATTGGTGTATCTATTATGATAATGATGCAATGTTCTATCATTTGTAATCACAATAACTTGAAATCTCTTTGTACAGGCTTAGGTATAATTTTCCTTCCCTTGAGGAAGCAATTGTACACATGCCATCATAGTTATGTTCATTGATTTCTTCTTCTGGTTTTGTTAGTAATATATGTAAATTAGGAAAAAAAAACCCAACCCAAACTCCCCAAAACAAAATAACAAAATAAGAATCACTCATTATCTCACTGTGCATTAATAAGTGCATTTCAGTTTTTTAAAAAATAGATGTGTATATAATGTATATACATATATACGTATACGTATCTTGCCATATTATCCTCTAATAAGCATCTGTATTCATATCCTTAGATAAATCTTGAAAGTGATTTTGAACAAATATTTTTGAAAACTTCCTTATCTTCCCATGGATATATCATAGGTTTTATTATTTTTTTTTTTGAACATTGTTTCTGATTTTTAAAAAACTCCTCCAGAGGGGTGTGAATTATAGCTTTCCATGCCTGTGGGAACATTTTCTTCACCTTTCAAGCCTAAGTGAAGTGAAAGTTGCTCAGTCGTGTCCATTTCTTTGTGACCCCATGTACTATACAGTCCATGGAATTCTCTAGGTCAAAATACTGGAGTGGGTAGCCTTTCCCTTCTCCAGGGGATCTTCCCAACCCAGGGATCAAACTCAGGTCTCCTGCATTGCAGGCGGATTCTTTACCAGCTGAGCCACAAGGGAAGTCCAAGAATGCTGGAGTGGGTAGCCTAACCCTCTAGTGGATCTTCCTGACCCAGGAATCGAACCAGGGTCTCCTGCATTGCAGGAAGATACTTTACCTACTGAGCTATCAGGGAAGCCCAAGGGGACATACCGTGGGTCAACTATTTGATAATGTTTTTAAGCTAAATCTTAAATGGCTTATTATTAAGACTCTTACCAAGACAGCTGTTTGAAAACAATGTTATCAAAATGTCCTTAGCATTGTAACTAAGATTAAAAGCATGAAAATGTACAAAAGATACATAGCAAAGTCACACAGTTCTTTTAATCTATACATTTCTTGAGGTATTTTTAGAAGTCCTGTTTCCTGAGTTTTTCTTCTCTCATCTCTTTTTGTCTGAGCCTCAGTGATGCTGTGATAGAGTCAGATTACACGTTTGCAGTTACAAGCCTAAGTTTCCTAATATAAAAAACAAGGCTGATGTCTTCCCTAGGGAGCTGTTGAGGGTTAAATAATACTTATAAATGTACGTAGTTCAGCTCCCGTCCCACAGGAGGCAGCCAGCTAATGGTTTTCACCCAGAGCCTGGATGTTCATGACCAGTCGTGTTTCCTTTCCTTCTGTTTTAGTGATAATTTTTCACCATGCATCGGAAGAAAGTGGATAACCGAATCCGGATTCTCATTGAGAATGGGGTAGCTGAGCGGCAAAGGTCTCTTTTTGTTGTGGTTGGAGATCGAGGGAAGGATCAGGTAAGACCTGGTAAATGCTTCCTGACTTTGTGTCCTGTTCCAGAGAGTCAGCATGTTACGGACCATCTGGGGATTTACACATAATGACATTAAGGTCTCTTTGGTTTTCTTTCTTTTTTTTTTTTATTTATTTTTATTAGTTGGAGGCTAATTACTTAATAATATTGTAGTGGTTTTTGTCATACACTGACATGAATCAGCCATGGATTTCCATGTATTCCCCATCCTCTTTGGTTTTCTTTTAAGTGAAATGCCTCGTGGGAACCTTCCTTTATTTCTTGAAAGTGATGAATACTCAGTAGTTAGAGTTATTAGTAGATAGGTTAACAGCTTTTGATACTGAGTACAAGAGTAAGTGTATGTGGTCTGGTTTTTAGTCCCAGCCTGGGCGCTGCTTGCCTTGTGGTCTTGGGCCTGGCTATCCCAGAGGTCTCTTTTGGCCCTAAGATTCCGTGGCTTTTTTCTTTGGCAGGTAGTCATACTGCATCACATGTTGTCCAAAGCAACTGTGAGAGCTCGGCCTTCGGTGCTGTGGTGCTATAAGAAAGAGCTGGGCTTCAGCAGGTAAGTCATGCCCCTTTGAGTGTTCCATCCTATTTCCCATCCCTGCTCCTTCGTTAAATGCCAGGAAATGATTCTTTGACCTAGGTTTTAAGGGATTGTTAGTAAAGGTGCCGTCTCTGAGGACACTTCCCAGTAGAGCAAATAATTGAGCTGATGTTCATTCTTCATTCCTGACAATAAATTTCAAAATCTTTTCATGCTTTTTTATGTTCCCAGCCCAATTCCTTGCTTTCTGCATGCCATTTTTCTTCCTGGTGTTCTCAGCTGATCGAGCGCATCTAATAATGCTGGTTCCACGTGATGCCTAATGCAGCAGCTTTTCTCTTTCTCCTTCTTTTCAGAGCTCTTCTACTAGTCTGCTGTCTGACAGTTGGCTGGTTTTGTTGTGTTTTGTTTTAATTGTGGAACTTAAGACATAGTAAATATGAGATCTCTAACACAAACACACTTAGGCACAAATGGAATCTATTGAAGTACAGTTAACCCTTGAACAGTGTGGGTTTGAACTGCAGGACTCCACTTATATGTGGATGTGTTTCAGTAGTAAGCTCTACAGTACTCTGTGGTCTGTGGTTGGTTGAATTCTCTGATACAGGGGAGCTGTGGTTACAGAGGGGCCGACTGTAAGTCAGACATAGGTTAACCCCCAGGTTTTTCAAGGGTCAGCAGTATTCGGGTTAGCTCCTGAAGCCTCTGGGGGTGAGACTTCAGCTTTGCCTTGGGGATGGCATATAGCCGCAGTGCTGACACCCTGGTTCCTGCTCTGTCCCTCGTCTTTGCGTCACCCCTCGGGTCTGCTCTGTTCTTTCCCACTTCAGGACAGCTTTCTGCCTTCTGTGGTCCCCATTGCAGAAATCGCCCCTGAGGTTTATGTGGTTTGGGTGCAACAACACAGAAATCCGTCTTTCTCCCAAATTCTTTTGGAAAGATATCCAGCCCTGGGCCAGAGGAAATGGGGTGGGCCACCTAGTAGGAGCCTGGCGGTTCTACCTACACCCATATGTGGGGAGCAGTTTGGGGTGTGGGGTACTGATCCTTGGCAGATACCCCACTATAGTGTCACCTCAGAAACGCTCTCCTTTTACCCTGACTGCCTTCCTATGCGCTTCCCTCTCTCTGATCTCATCTCGCCCACAACCCATTCGGCTGTGTGGTTCTGTCCTTGGGCCTCTTCCCCCTCCACTACCCCCAGAGTAGAGTTTGTCTCTGGGGTGGACTCCGACAGTGCATCTCCAGCCCCGGCTGCTCTCTGCTCTGGCGAAACCCCCTGCCTTTGCCCCTGTTCCCTCCCCCGCTTGGGGTGCTGCTTCCACCTCTCTGTACTCACCTGCTGAGGTGCTCGCCCCGGGTGCTCCCCTCTGTTCAGGGCCTGCGTCCTGCAGGAAGCTTTTCCTGAGGCCCTCAGACGTAGCACATGGCCCCACTGCCCTCTCTAGCCCCTGTCTCTTTGTACAGTGCTTGGCACCTTACCTTCTCTCTCCCTCAAGATGTGATCGCTTGCCCCCTGGTAAGTAAGTTCATTTAGCGAGGAGACCTCTCCTGCTTATCTTTATATTTTC